GAAACGTTGCAGCCGGGTGAATCAACAAATGCAACTTTCGAGCTGGAATTGTGGAAGTGTCAAGCACTGTTCTCTCGCTACAGAGTTACAAGAGCCCCCGTTACATACCTCCGTACCAAGGTTCGCGCCGCGTCGGGCTTTGCATGCCCCTTAAAAACCATAGCCATGTATAGTCATAACCCGAACAATGGCATCATCCTGGCGCAACACAATGTGGACCTGGTACAATAAAATGCGCGTCTGAGAACCCACAAGCATAATAAAAATAACGGGGAAGGCCTGGCTTTGCAAAGAAGAGGTTTGGAGGGGCCGCGTTTTCCATTTAGTTTGGGCTGATGGTTCTATAGTTTCATTTAACCCGCTTTTCCATCTAGTTTGGGTTGGTGGTTTGGAGGGCCGGTTTTGCATTCGTTTGGGTTGCTGGTTTGGAGGGGGCAATTGTTTCATTTAGTTTGGGTTGGTAGTTTGGAGGGGGCCGCTGTTTTCATTTGGTTTGGGTTGCTGGTTTGGAGGGGCCGCTTGTTTCATTTAGTTTTTGGGTTGTTTGGAGGGGCCGCTTGTTCTATTTACTTTTGCTTGGTGGTTCTAGTTTCACTTAATTTTCGTTGGTGGTTTGGTCGGAGGGGTCCGCTTTTCCATTTGCTGGTTTGGAGAGGCCGGTTTTGACATTATGTTTGGGTGGGTAGTTTGGAGGGGGCTGTTTTGTCCATTTAGTTTGGGTTGCTGGTTTGGAGTTTGGAGGAGCCGTTTGTTTCATTTAGTTTGGGTTGGTAGTTTGGAGGGGCCGCTTTTTTAATTTAGTTTGGGTTGCTGGTTTGGAGGGGCCGCTTGTTTCATTTAGTTTCGTTTGGTTGCGTGGAGGGGCCGTTTTTTCTATTTGGTTTGGGTTGGTAGTTTGGAGGGGGCCGTTTTTCCATTAGTTTGGGTTGCTGGCTTGGTTGGGTTGGGTATTTTTTCCAACTAGTTTGGGTTGATGGTTCTAGTTGCATTTAATTTGTGTTGGTGGTTTGGAGGGGGCCGCTTTTCCATTTACTGTAGTTTGGGTTGGTGGTTTGGAGGGGCCGCTTGTTTCATTGAGTTTGGGTTGGTTGTTTGGAGGGGCCGCTTGTTTCATTTAGTTTTGGTTGGTTGTTTGGAGGGGCCGCTTGTTTCATTTAGTGTGGGTTGGTGGAAAGTTACGCAAGTTGGGTCGCTCAATTCATGCTTCTTTACTTGCGAATTTTGGAAGAAACCAACTAGGTCAACATCCAGGGCCCCTCGAATCTGAGTTCCTGGGCTGGGGAGATTGAAAGACCGACAAAAAAGGTCAAAAACCCGGGTTGTGAAATCCTAGTTCCTGATTTGGGGAGACCAACAAAGTTCAAAACGCTGAAAATCCCGGGTCCCCTAAAGTGATGTGATGTGTCTTTACTTGGGGAGTTCAAAAAGTTCAAAATCCCGGGTCCCGAAAGTGATGTTCCGCCGGGTGTTTCTTTACTTGGGGAGTTCAAAATCCAGGGTCCCGAAAGTGATGTTCCGCCGGGTGTTTCTTTACTTGGGGAGCTCAAAATCCCGGGTCCCGAAAGTGATGTTTCTTTACTTGGGGAGTTCAAAAAGTTCAAAACCCCGGGTCCCCAACGTGATGTTTCTGTACTTGGACAGTTCAAACAATTCAAAAATTCAAAATCCCGGGTCCCAAAAGTGATGTTTCTTTACACGGGGAGTTCAAATGCCGTTTTTTTTGCGCAGTTGGAGGGCCTGTCACTGGCCTGCTTGGTTGGGCTCCTGCTTTGCATGAAGTGGGGTTTCCTAGGGAGGGTCCGGGGCCCTCCCTCCTGAAAGGACCCGCCTGTTTGTCGGATACGGGGCCTTGTGGGCCCCTAGTGCAATCCGGACGGGATCAATGGATCGCTGATCGACCAAAATGGCCTCGAATCACATCTCCCCTATCCGACGGTTATCCGACGGCTATCCGACGGCTATCCGACGGCTATCCGACGGTTATCCGACGGTTATCCGACGGTTATCCGACGGTATCCGACGCCGGGCCCTCGTAGACCCTCAGTTTTGGGGGCCCCGGCCCAATTATCCGACGGTATCCGACGGCTATCCGACGGCCATCCGACGGTTATCCGACGGCTATCCGACGGCCATCCGACGGTTATCCGACGGCTATCCGACGGCCATCCGACGGTTATCCGACGGCTATCCGACGGCCATCCGACGGTTATCCGACGGCTATCCGACGGCCATCCGACGGTTATCCGACGGTTCTCCGATGGTAATCCGAAGCTTGTTTGCAGCCCAAAGGCCCCCAACAAAAAACCAGCCCGAAACCTCCTACGACCGCGAGGGCCCGCGAGGGCCCAAGGGCCCGAAACATGAGTTGGGAGCGTCTGGGAGTAGAGTTTCTATTTTGTTTGCTGTGTGTGGCTGCCATGCTTTTTGTGCAGTTGGATTTTTTCTAGGCCTGTCACTGGCCTGCTTGGTCGGGCTGCTGATTCTCTTGAAGTGGGATGTTTGTAGTAGGGCTGTGTGGATGTCGCTTTCTTGGCGCAGTTGCTTTTCTTCAGGGCCTGTCGCTGGCCTGCTTGGTCCGGCTGTGGCCTGCATGGCCCGCCTGATGACCCGCATGTCCTGCCCACCGCCCACCGCCCACCGCCCTGCGTGAGGCAACAGCTCTTCGCAAGCAAGATTGCCAACAACATCTGCAGAAAACAGGCAGGCAAAGACAACAACCAAATTAGAAACCAGAAAAAAAGCACTTTGCGAAAAGCAGCAGCCCAACCAAGCAGGCCAGCGACAGACCCTGAACAAAACACGGCAGCCGCGGACAACAAGCAATTACTGTAGCAACTCTTACTTAAAAAATCAAAAAAAATCAAACTTTACGAAAAACAGCAGACCAGGCAGGCCAGTGACAGGCCCTGAACGAAATCCAACTGCGCAACAACAAAAAATGGCAGCCACACACAACAAACAAAGCAGCAGCTTTACAAAAAAAAACAAGACCGCGAAAAGCAGCAGCCCGACCAAGCAGGCCAGCGACAGGCCCTGAAACAAAAACAACTGCACCAAAAAAGCGGCATCCACACACAAAAAGCAAATTAGAAGCCCTACTGCAAAAATCCCACTTCACGAAAATTAGCAGCCTGACTAAGCAGGCCAGTGACAGCATGCACAAAAAACATGGCAGCCACGCACAACAAGCAAATTGGAAGCTCTACTAAATAAATCCAACTTCACGAAAAGCAGCAGCCCAAGCAAGCAGGCCAGTGACAGGCCCTCAGGCCCTGAGCAAAAATCCAACTGCACAAAAAACATGGCAGCTACACACAACAAGCAAATTAGAAGCTTTACTAAACAAATCCAACTTCACGAAAAGCGATGAAAAGCAGCAGCCCGACCAAGCAAGCCAGTGACAGGCCCCTATAAAAACAACAACTACACAAAAAAGAACGCGGCAGCCACACGCAACAAGCAAACTAGAAGCTCTCGGGAAAAATCCCACTTCACAAAAAGCAGCAGGCCGACCAAGCAGGCCAGTGACAGGCCCTGAACAAAATCCAACTGCACCAAAAAAGTGGCACTCAAGCACAACAAGCAAATTCGAAGCCCTACAACAAATCCCACTTTGCTGCTAAAATCACCAGCCCGACCGAGCAGGCCAGTGCCAGGCCCTGAAACAAATCCAACTTCACCAAAACACGGCAGCCACAGACAGCAAGCAAAAAACAACAATCTCTATACTGAAAAAAATCACGAAAAGCAGCAGGCCGACCAAGCAAGCCAGTGACAGGCCTTGAAAAGAACCAACTGCACAACAACCAACAAAAACGGCAGCCACACAGAACAAGCAAACTAGAAGCCCTTCGGAAAAATATTGCTTCACGAAAAGCAGCAGCCGGACCAAGCAGGCCAGCGACAGGCCCTGAAGAAAAGCAACTGCGCCAAGAAAGCGACATCCACACAGCCCTACCACAAACATCCCACTTCAAGAGAATCAGCAGCCCGACCAAGCAGGCCAGTGACAGGCCTAGAAAAAATCCAACTGCACAAAAAGCATGGCAGCCACACACAGCAAACAAAATAGAATCTCTACTCCCAGACGCTCCCAACTCATGTTTCGGGCCCTTGGGCCCTCGCGGGCCCTCGCGGTCGTAGGAGGTTTCGGGCTGGTTTTTTGTTGGGGGCCTTTGGGCTGCAAACAAGCTTCGGATTACCATCGGAGAACCGTCGGATAACCGTCGGATGGCCGTCGGATAGCCGTCGGATAACCGTCGGATGGCCGTCGGATAGCCGTCGGATAACCGTCGGATAATTGGGCCGGGGCCCCCAAAACTGAGTGTCTACGAGGGCCCGGCGTCGGATAACCGTCGGATCACCGTCGGATAGTAATGCTAGGGGAGGTGTGATTCGAGGCTATTTTGGTTCCATCCATCCCGTCCGGATTGCACTGGGGGCCCACGAGGGCCCCGTATCCGACAAACAGGCCGGTCCCTCCCTAGGAGGGCCCCGGACCCTCCCTAGGAGGGCCCACGAGCCTCTGGGCTACACATCTGTCAACGCTTGACCTAAATGTGGGAAAACATGTACATATTCCATACAATGGAGTGTCTTTTTGTTGGTCCGTTTTAGTGTCCAACCCCGCTTGGAAACAGCTGAGTCTTCCACAAACAGTACTTCCACGTTGTCTGCTCGTATCAGCTCGCTGCCTGTCGAATCGCGAGCAACCGACGAATCTGACAGGCGGGAGGGCAGTGATGAGCTCCGTTGCCCAGTTAGGACTCAGAAAAAAGAAGAAGAAGTAAGCACCTTCTGAAAAGGGGCCACTCAAAATGGGAACCCACAAAGAAGTTGGTTGTTTTGGTGGAAGTGAGTGAACGAGTACTTGGCAGCTTGGGTCGAAAACAAGTACTCAGTTCCTAGTCACAACTGAAGGAACTTCCTGGTAGCTGGTGGTCACTTTCAGCCGTTGCACCTCCAGGTCGGGTTGACGATGCGGATCCACATCCGAGAACTCATTCGAGCAGAAGAGTGAGCGTCTCCTCAACTGGCGGCAAACGAGTTGTATCGGCACCTAGTCGACTCATAGGGGGGGTGAACGCTTTTGGGGGAAACACTCATGATCCAAGGGATGGATCGACTTAGGATTTGGAGATATCTATCGACATTACCCTCCTGTTCAACATGGAACCAACGAGAGGGTCCCTTTAGGAAGATCCTTCCAGGCCCTTGGTTTGGCAAAAGCCGAGCCACCGGAGGTCCAAGAGTACTGTGCATGGACGAATCCTGCAAGTTGATAGGTGGATTGGCTCATTCCTAGGGCTGCATCCATCCCAACTGGTCCAGGATGTGGTCCCATTGAGAGAATGCTTGTGGGCTATACAATCAACACACGATGCTTCCCAAGTATGGCAAATCATCACGGCTTTCGGAGTCTGATTGATCTTCATCCCCAGTTTGTGCTTCTGCTACAAGTGCCCATTTCTTGTTGTCCACATCCTGGTCTGAATTCCTAAGTGGATTGGCCAAAACAGTCAAATGGTCCAGCCCCAAAAAGCCTAAAGTTCACAAACTCAGGGAAACAGCGGCCCAGCTCGTCAAACCAACTTGTCTGTGCATGCGCGTGCTGTGTGCTTGTGGCACGCAGGGTCCGTGAAGTTCGGGCTTTGGTCTCTGTCTCTGCAGCATACCAGCGACCGGGTCCCAACCACTGCGTTTTGGACAGTAATTACCAAGGGAAATGTTGGACATGTGAAAAGGCAGTGGTCGGGGGGCTGCTTGGCGGTAAAAAAATAATAAGACAGCTTGTTTGGCAACCCACCCGAATCTAAAGAAATAACTCTTGACAACAAAAGCCGCTCAGTTTCGAATTCAGTGTGTCTTCGACATTTTTTTGCTGTTGCGTCCTCTACTTGTTCTTCCTGTCTTCAATTCGACCTCAGAGAAAAAGAACGCTTTACAGAGCACTTGCTGGTCTTACACGACGTCAACATGAAGGCTTCTTCTCCACCAAAAGGCGACGGCTGGGGTGGGAGGCTCTATGCTTCACCAACAAGCTGTAAGCACAAGTGCAACTCCCAACCCCTCCGAGCCCGCCCGAACCCGAACAATCCGCTCCTCACGTCTTTGCCTCGGCTTCAGAAGTAAAACACGCCGGAGTCTGCATGCGTCATGACCCCTACTTGTGGGTCACCGATTTCTAAAATGTCATGGACTCTGGGCAGCTGTGGAATCTGTTGACAGTCCATAAACCCCTCAGTTGACGCATGGGGTAAAATTCTGGAGAAAAAGTCGCCTCCCGAAGTAAACCAGCACGGGCTTCATGTATGGATAAGAATCAGCTTGTGAAAGAATCACCTGGAACCTTTTGGTGGCTGTTGACTTTCAGACAAACTTCCAGTTGCACAGTGAGGAATCCACTAAACAACAAATAATTCATACGGGTGTGTCGTTTTTCCAACATAGATTGTGGCTCTTCTCTTGGTTCTCTTGTTAAAAACGCTCATGTTGTAACATATGTGTATATATATATATATATGTATGAGTGCTTCTCAACATGGTGGGCCACATGTTGGTTTGCAAAATGAAATAAAAAGGAACAAGGTTCAAACTTGGGGACCTCAATTCTGAGAAACACCCAAACACCACATTCATGTATTATATACACATCTACCTAGACGTATGTATAAACATATATATATATATATATAATATATTTCTACATGCTGTGCACCTGTGCGTGTGTGTGCGTGTGCGTGTGCGTGCGTGTGCGCGTGCGCGTGCACGCTCGTGCGCGCGTGTGTGTGTGTGTGTGGGTGGGTGTGTGTGTGTGTGTGTGTGGGTGTGTGTGTGTGTGTGTGTGTGGGTGGGTTGGTGGGGGTGGGTTGGTGGGTTGGTGGGTTGGTGGGTTGGTGGGTTGGTGGGTTGGTGGGTTGGTGGGTTGGTGGGTTGGTGGGTTGGTGGGTTGGTGGGTTGGTGGGTTGGTGGGTTGGTGGGTTGGTGGGTTGGTGGGTGGGTGGGTGGGTGGGTGGGTGGGTGGGTGGGTGGGTGGGTGGGTGGGTGGGTGGGTGGGTGGGTGGGGTGGGTGGGTGGGTGGGTGGGTGGGTGGGTGGGTGGGTGGGTGGGTGGGTGGGTGGGTGGGTGGGTGGGTGGGTGGGTGGGTGGGTGGGTGGGTGGGTGGGTGGGTGGGTGGGTGGGTGGGTGGGTGGGTGGGTGGGTGGGTGGGTGGGTGGGTGCGTGTGCGTGTGCGTGGGTGCGTGGGTGCGTGGGTGCGTGCGTGCGTGCGTGCGTGCGTGCGTGCGTGCGTGGGTGGGTGCGTGCGTGCGTGCGTGCGTGCGTGGGTGGGTGGGTGCGTGGGTGGGTGGGTGGGTGGGTGTGTGGGTGTGTGTGTGTGTGTGTGTGCGTCACTGAGTACGTGGCTGCGCCCTTTAACGGCCGCTCATCCACTCATCGCGCCTGCGGGCGACCGCCGCCAGAGCCACAGCCAGGGCCAGCACCAGAAGCGCGAAAACCGGCGCGGCGAAGGAGTTGAAGACGTGGCTGGCGAAGTGAACTGCCCTCGATGTACTACCCAAAAATTGTGGGCACTTCAGTTGGTGTTGTCCAGTTGGTGTCCCAAAAACGGCAGCTGCCCCCCAAGTTGCCCTCCTGTCCACCAACATGGAACCCACCATAGGGGCCATCTTAAAGGAACATGGTCTTCTAGGACCCCCTCAGTCAGGTTCCCCGTGGACAGGAGGCTACCGCCAAAAATGGCAGTTTTCCAGGTGTCCCTTGAAAGCAGTTCTCCAGTTGGCGTCCCTTTTTTTCACTACCAAAAAGGGCCCCAAACTGCTCTTACTGCTCTTGCAAAAGGGACATCGCCCAACATTTTGGCCGGTACAACTCACTGCCTTCAGGGCTGCGGGAATTAACCACAGAACTTGATACAGAAAGGGCTTCCCAAAGACTAACCCTCCATACACAGAATTGGGGAGATTCCCTTGTATCACGGAAGTGGGATAATCCTTTGACCCCACAACTCACAACCCTCACCCTCAAAAAAGGGGGGTATAACTAAGCGCCTAAAAACAGGGTTCATCCCACTGAATGGGGACTTAGAAGTGGGCTTTAACCAAACGCTTGCTGTTACAGCTTACGAATATGGCAAATCGAACACCAACCACAAAAAACGGGCACCTGAAAACTGAAACCCCCAAATGCACATGCAAAGGGAAATCCCCAACCATCATTTTGGGTTGCAATCACCCAGTAGTCGGGTAGTTTGAGAATCGGTTCAGGTGCCCAAAAGGTCTTCAATCCGTTTTGGCTCGACATGCAGCATCCCGATGCCGCGTCTTTGATTTGTGCCAGGCCGCCTCGGGCTAAACCAAACACCCTCTTCGGAACCCGAAAAAGTGCCACATCCCTACCTTCTGGGTGGAGGGTCTCCGGGTCTGGGACCACTCCGGTCTCCCATTTTTGATGGGGATGGGGATGATGACACAAGGATTCCAATTTTAAGGGGGTGAGGATGAAGACACAAGGACACAAGTATTGAACGCACAAGCACACGCAAGCACACGCATGCACAAACAGGCGCGAAAGGCCGGCTTCGGCCTGTCCAGCAAGGGCGGTGTCTCTGAGTATCTCTGCAGAGGCTTCGTGTGGGAGATTTCCTCAGCAGCGAACCCTAAGCAACTTCTGGACACCAAGGACAGCAACAAAATGCCAAACACACATGACCTGCTCATTCAAGAGGCTCTGGGACACGAGCACCCACATTGAGTGATGAATATGAGCATGGTTATGAGACAGGCAGAACATCAGAAGTGGGTGGACATGAATCACCACCAAAATGATGTCCGCCCACGTATTTCTTGTCTAAATTAATGCCTGCAGGTTCGTGTTTCCCCCACATGTAAAGCTGGCTTTGCTGCAAGTCAGCCGGGCAAAGAATCAGAGAGCTCTCAAACTACCCACAAAAATGGGGCATTGATTGTTGCCCTAAAAGCATGAGCAATAACCTATCAATACGGGTTCTGTGGTTTGGGGGTTCAGGTAGACATATGTAACAAATGGCAGCCGTTTGAACCCAATGTACCCGGACCAAAAAGCGGTTCCCCATTCTTGAGCACCATGTGGGACCCGAAAGCTCGGCGCTGATTTCCCCACAAATAGACATTTTAATGTCCTTGCCAAACTACCAATCAAGTACTTTGGCGCGCAAGTAGCACCGGATGCAAATTACATAGGTGACACATGTTGGGGTGAATTTGCTGGTCTTGCTATGTGGCCTTGTGGAGTGACGCTTTTGACTTGGTCTCATTACAGTGCAAGTGCTAATCAGAATCAGGTCCCTCGGGGGACATCCTTTACATGGGAGAATAATGTCCACCGATCGTTTTTCGAAGGAACGAGCCGCTAAAACTTGAAAGCCGGGGTTTATGGAAATTAGGTGCACTTTGCACGCTCCACGAAGTTTGAAGTTGATGCCCACAATGGCTGCCCATTGATGAGTGCTTTCTCGCCTTGACAGCTGCCCTTCTCGCAAACAGAAGGCACTTTCAGCTTCCAGCCCCATCATGTTGTTCAGGAATACAGGGGTCACCGGATTTCCCTTCCAAAAAAGGGAAGCCCTGGAATATGACAGACTCATTTGTCCCAGAAAACAAAAGGCACCTGTGCAAGGGCACTAAGAGCACTTTCCTCTCGAAGCCGGGTTTGTGTCAGGTACCAGCTTAAAGAAACGCCAGCAACAAGAATCACAGGCCCAGCAAAATGTACGTCCATTCACAACAAGCGTCTTCGAGCAACCTGCTCAAGGCTACAAAGGCAGCACGGGGATTGTCAGCTGGCACCATGTGACCCGCGTCTTCGATCCTGATGACGAAGCGCTGTCCGCTCAAACTAGCATCATTTCTCTTGCAGAGTTTGCTTTGCGACTTCTCAGTTGACCGTCTCAGTTTCAACACTCCAAGCCGTAGCTGGCGAAACAAGGGACCCTGTTGCAGAGGATTCCAAGTGGGAACCGGCGCCGGCGTCGTGAAACCACCCATTTGGAGCGGCCCACGATTTAATTTACACCATTGACTGTCCCACATAGTCCGTGTCAAAACCACGATCGAATTCCATCGTCAGGCCGTCCAACCCATTAATAGGCGTACTCGGACCGCTGCGAGTTTCTTTTGGAGAAACCCTTGGGACTTGGGAGCCACGTAAATGCTCAGAGTTCATATCAGGGTTGGCAGCTAGGCTCGAACAAGTCGTCATCACCATGGCCGGGTTTAGCGGTTCAGGGCAGCATTGTGAATCTGTTCTCAAGCGCATAAACCGAAAGAAGCCCCACGGTTGATTGCTTGCGATGGCGAGGAAACGCCTGAATTGTTGAACCTGCCAGTCGAGATGCCGGATCCCGACCAAAGCAAGATTTATGACCCGGGCGGGGCCCGCCACCTGTTTTCAAGATGCCTTCGGGCGAAAGCGCTCTTCGGGCATCTGCAATTTGGCTCAGCCTGCCCATCGACCCCATTTCACAAGCGCCTCCGTTGTTCAAGTGAGCCCCTGACTCGGTGGTCACAGCTTTTTTCTGCCTGCTAAATCACGCCAGGGCCAAATGGCAAGGTTTCCTCCCTGGAGTTTGCCTCATTTTTGGACGTTTCCTTTGGGTTCTGCTTGAAACCAAGCAAAATAGGCTTTGACAAAAGACACGCCCTTCTGCAAACCAGCTTGGAAAAACGGCAAGCGGGGGCTACCCTCTATTGACCTCAAGGTCGCTTCCATTTTTCTCCAACAACCCCGAAGTACAGGACCTATTTGGATGTTTGGCCAGCCAAATTTGACTACAGCGCCCTAATAACAAGGCACACCCGACTTATGGGGACAAATAAATGGGTTATAACATATATAGGTTACCAACAACTTGCTAACTTGGCAACAAACACCCAATCTCAAGCACGTGGTGAGGTCAAATTACACACGCGAATCGGTGGAATCGCCCGCCACATGCAAATGTGCCAACCAGCTGAATTGCTGCCAGCCCTGAGCATTTTTGCAGGTACAAATGGAAAAACACCAAACCAGCGCCCCCCCCCCCCCCCAACCACTGCTTGTTGGGGAGTACTTGGGATTTTGGTCACGGCGAAAAGCAGTTGTTGGAGGGCCGATTTGTTTGCACGTTCCACAAGCTTTTGGTGTCACCAGCCCAGTATTTCCTGCTGCCATAGGGGGGCAAACCATCCATGGTAAAAACCTAGAGGTAGCCATACCCGGTTACCCAAACAAAACCGCGGCGCACCGCCTGGAAGCACTGGGCAGGTCGTTTTGGGGGAGTGTCTTCGATCTGCGCAGACCAAAAGGCGATGCGGCTGAGGCGCTGGATCCAGGTGAGGCCTCCGCCGGTCTTCTCTTGGCCAACCTTGTCATCGCCCACGTGGAAGGCTTTCATCGGGGTGTACCGCCACTCCTGAAGGATGGGAGCGAGCGATCTGGTCTTGCTGAAAGGAATCGGAACCCCCCAAAATGTCCTTTTCATCTGTTGCAATTTGCCTTTTGGTCTTTTGGTTTTCCTTCAAAACCAAACCAAAAGAGGTTCCCTCCAAAAACGAGACGCACATGCATCGGAGGAAAAACATCAAGTCCAGGTGGTATTCCCCGGAACCCCCGAAAGGAGCCGAATGTCCGTTTGAACCAGAGATTCTTGGGCTATATCAACCGCACAGCTTTTAGCTCGGGAAATCACGAGAAACGCCTTGTTGCGGCCGGGTTGCCTAGCCTTGTTGTGTGCCAAATATCCGCGTTTTTGGACCCTCGCGCACAGCCGAAGGTACCAAGACACCCGCTGCCCGCCCACAATTGAGTTGTGGACGGCACCCTGGGGGTTTCGGACATGGGACAAAAGGCAGGTTGGGCGAGTTGGAAGTCTGACCGAAACATGGTGGGGTAAGCCACCCATACCCAGGCCTTCCTGTGGACATTATGCACGCATTCACACGGGGAATACTGTGCAGCCATGTGTCTTTTTCTAGGGGACCCCCCCCTCAACAAAAAGGGTGGTTGTCCTTTGGGTTTTACTTTAAAGCAACCAACAAGGGGTACACGCAAGAATGACACACCCATTTCACGGGTATTCCAATATTCCTGCATTCTGCATGAGCATGAATCGCAATATTGGCTGATTCTCTGCTTGCACCCCAACAAAAGAGGGTAATGAGAGCAAGTGCAGCCATTGCGAAACTTTCTGCGTGGGAAGATGCCATTGTCTGAACTTCCAGCGCACGCAGGAGATATATATATATATATATATATATATATACATGTGTGTGTGTGTGTCAAAATAGTGAAACCCAACAAATGGCGGTTTCGCTTTGGCTTCCCTTGAAACCTACCTGACAAAAATGACCCTCAAAGCAACACACACACACAGAACTGGAAGTGCTAGATGAAATGGCCTTGACCGGGTGTTGAAGCGCAGATCACTTGTATCTCTCTTTGGGGAAACCCATGGCTCCCCGTGGCTTCAAGGTGGAAACCCATGTCGTTGCGCCATGCACCCAGTCGAAATCCGGGAAGCATTAACTTTTGTTTACCAGACCGGGTCGTGTCCACACATGTACAACACACTGTAAACAAACCTGAACCCTCAAACTACCCATAAACATGGGTTGTTGCCCAAAATCCCGGGGTTCCCCTTTACATAAAGGGTATCCTGTGGGTCCAGGAACACAACACACTTGGACCATGGGGCCATCTGTTTTCCTTGAAGGTTCTGCTTTGGGTCAACAGCTACAAGCGGCTGCCCTGTGACTTTCGGTGGTCACCTTGGACCAAATGCCACTAAATGACTGTTCCGCTCACCATCTCTTTGAACAGCCCGGAGTTCAACACATTGCAAAACAACATGGCGTGCCTGAGGTGTTGTTCTTTGTGTCACTAAGGACACAAACAGCACACCTCGCGAAGTTGGTCGTAGGGTGTAAGCGGCATGTGGGTATGCCTGCTTGAGGCTACCCTTTTTGGAGTTTCAACGGAGCCCCACTTGGTGGGGTCCACCATTTTTGAGACAGAAAGACCGCATCTTTCGCCCGCAACCGAAAAACAATATATGTTTGCATGCTGATCATGTTCAGTGAACCTCCAAGTCTCCCAAACAGATCCCAAACACTCATGACATGATCACTGCGATGGTTCGATCTGATTTCGGCAAAGCGGACCGCCTGATATCGACTCCAGCGCAAAGCTGAGGCTGCAGCAAAGCCACCTGCAAAGGAGATCGATGAGCGCATTTCCCAAAAAGGGAGGTCAAAAGCGGAACTTGGTTGCTGCTGACCCCTCTGCAAAAAGTTATTCACCTTTTTGTGGGTTCAAAGAAAGATCCAACCTAGTCAAAGCCCGGACACACAACACACCAAGCATCCAAAAAGTTAAAAGCCCAAACATCCGTTACCAACTAGCCATAGGACATGTCAGAACCTTCTCCACTTCATGGTTTACCTAGGGATTGTCGTCATCCAAATTGGGTCAACCATTGAATACATGGGGACTAAACCCTACCTAGGGCTTCAAGAACCTGTAGAAATGTCGCACCCTTTTCTTGATTTGTGTTTTTTCAGAGGAAAACACATTGTGTGTTTGACAAAACTCTCAAACATGGGCTTCTGAGGCCAAACGCTGATTTGGAGCAAAGGGTCAAAGGCAAGGGTCGGGAGTGGAATTCACACAGGCATTACCCAGTAAGCTTTCAACAGAGGGGCAGGGCTCTATCGGAATATGCTTCAAATTCTAAGGGGCCCACATTGATGAGCCTGACAGCAGGGTGCGCAGCTGGCTTCAGTCTTATTTTACCTTCACCGCAACAAGCGCCTGAAGACTGGCGCCAGGTCATACCGAAACCAGATTGAAGGGGATGCTGGAATCCCGAAGCTTGTTTTGGTGCAAAAACAAGACCAGGTGACACTTGTTGACATGTTTTGTTTTAATGATTTTCGGGGGCGGGATCCTGGCGGCAAACCCGCAGAAACCCGTAGAAACCCATAGAACAGCGCAGCCCAACCAAAAACATGGTGTTTTTGGAAACATTGTGTTTTCTATCCCGTAGCTAAACCGTGCAAAATCTGTAGTAAAGCGTGGCAAACTGTGGAATTTCTACGGCTTTTTCGGGTTCAATCCCGGATGCGCTAATTCGAGAATGTTGATGGAAAACAATGAAGTCGTGGGCAAAAAACGGTCTTTGCTTGAGCTTGCGCACGCCCTCATCATGGCATTGCTGCTTGACAAGTGTCATAAAACTGTGTGGTACTTTTGACTATTTAGGTCCCCAGCCTCCTGCTTTTAGATTGGAGAATGACGAGTGGCGAATGCGAAGCTGATTTCGTTGTGAGCGCAAAAGGGGAATGGGCAATGGGAGATTCTGAGGTTGAGATGATGCTTTTGTGAATGGATCATGAGTTGAAGGAATTATGCGAAAATGATTGAAATCGGGTATGACATTTTCGTTTGTATGACATTTTCATCGGGTCTTTGAGGCTCCTGGTAGGACCCAAATTTGGTAACCGGGCATTTTTGCAACTGTCCTTCTCTCACTTCTTTCGGCAAGTTGCCTCGATTCTTGTCGGGTCGCCCGTGGCCCCCGAGTCATTTGCCGGTAGCGAAAGGGGGATTGTTACTCTGCAGATCAACATGTGGAACCCCAACAGCCATGCTTAAAGGAATGTCCTTTTGGGTGGCCTTTCCATATCACCCCAGAAACCATTCTCCATGTCCGCATTGCCTTGTCAACACAATATCGCCTGGCTTCGCCACGCTTGAAGAAGATTGAGGGCCAAGATCAGCATTGATCCACTTGGATGTTCGTTGCCAACCTAGTAAGTGGATTATCGGATAGCCAATTGGAGTTCTTCACCCTCTACTAACAAGGCTAAACCCACTTTCACGGGGGACGTATCAGTGGGTTAGACAACTTACGTTCAAATCGTACTTGACCGAAAGTAAGGGATGGAGCCCTAAACAAACCGCAACCACGGACGTCGCAAAGCGAAACCCAGAGCCTCCAGCTGCCTGACTAAAATGGGGGCGATTGCCACCCACAATCATGGGGCGATTTCCCTTTTCCGAGGGTAGTTTGGGGCTCCAAGGAACGCTTTTCTGGCTTTTCTCTGAAACCAACAAAGGAATTCACCTCCATTTTCGGGGTCCGGTTCCTCTCTTGCGACTCAAGGCGAAGTTCGCTTTCCGACTTCCCGACTTGACGCCTTGGAAGTCGCAGGTGGCGTCGCGCATGCCGTAGGAGAACATCACGGGGATCTGCAGATCCAAGAGCTTCCCCAAGGTCCTCAGTGCTACGTAGCACGGTGGTGCTCCAAGTATTGCAACTAAAACGACCATACGCAACCACAAGACGATGATGAAAATAGTATGGTAAATTAGAGGGTTGCAGTACCTTGCTGCCTTACACTTGCGATGTTTTCCAGCATTTTCCGTACCGCTATAGGTAGCCTGCTTTTTTTGCTTCTGGCTTTGCCAACATAGTTTCCCTGGGTACCTACTATGGTAGCTGTAAGCACTGGGCTTTGAAAAAGCTGGTACACGTGGTATGCAGATGGGCCAACATGCATATGTCCCGAAAAAACGATCTGCGGCTTCGCTATGAATACCGAAGGAGCTCGTCAAGTTCGTTGAACAAAAACACGCTGGACAACTCATGCAGTCCTTCCGGTTTCGTTAGCTTGACTGCATGTGGTGCTTGCGCGAGCAACGAACCATGTGCAACAGGCATCACAAGGATCATATGGGTGTGGCTCAAAATTAAACGATTGGAGAGCAATCCATCTTGGTACCGTTTTTTTGAGCCACAGCCATATTTTGCGGATTCCACACGACTCACCCGCCAATCAAGGATCTTTCTTGGCTGGGGGAGCCAATTGATTTGGACACACAGCCACTTTCATGAAGAGAACAGGTCGAAGTATCTCCTTCCAACACTTGAGTCATAATCAAAACCTGGTATTAACATGGTCGAAACAAACAATGAAACGAAATCAAAAGGCGGCCGCACCTGTCTATGGCTGGGATTGTCCCTTACTAGCCTTCATCTCCCCGGGTTTTGATTGTGTCTCACTTGATGGTCAAAGTGCGCGTGGTCACGGATCCACTCCTCTACCGGGAGTCCCAACATAGGTGAGCTTATTCACAAACAGATGGGTTTCCCTGGGGCAAACACCCAATCTAAACCAGTGGAACCCATCAAGCTAGCCTAGAAAGGACACCTAGGATGGTTGTCTTGAACCACTCATGTTGGTTGACGGTTGCTGTTTGCCTTAGTTTGATCATTGCTCAGATCTCAAATCGCCCGTCTTTGACAAAACGAGCCATCCACAAATTGCCCGGCGATTATTAAGCCGTATGACCGAGCCTATATGAAAAGGGGGAACACTGGTTGGATCATTTCCAAGGGATTTCACCAGGTAGTCAACTACTTGGAGGGGTCCCCACGCTGACCCTTGCTCGCCTAATTGGTTGTAAACTACAACCTAGGAAAGAAAGCAACCCAAACCACATGTCTTTGATTCAGTGAAACTTTCAAAGCCTTTGTAAAGGAATGAGGGAACGACCCCTTTCCTCCGTGGCCCCGAGGTTTGTCTTCGAGGGTTTTTGCCAGCGTTTGCGGCTGTTGGCCCACTTTGCAGCTTTAGCAGTCCGCATCCTCAGCATCACCAGCAAACCTCAGTAGCAACACTGCCAGGATAGTGTTTGCAACCCCCGAAAACAACCCTAAACCCACCCTAAACCCGCCACAAAACATCCTTAAACCAACTCTAAACCAAAAACCCACCCTAAACCCGCCCCAGGCTGGGAACAAAACGGCAAACCTTCCGTCCCTTGAGGTGTCCTACAAAATCCACTGAGTGTGTCTTCTTTTAAGAACGCCTTTTCGTGGTTTCAAGTGGAAACCAAAAGGAAACCCATCAATTTTGAAGTCCCCGAAAGAAAAATGCAAAAAAAACAAAACAAACGGAAACACAACCAAACATTATTTGTGTTCATTCCGAATTCCCAAAAACCCACGGAACTAATTTTGGGAAACAAACAAAAACACACTGCATTCCAAACCCCCAAAGAATCCCTGAGCCGTTGCTGTGATATTTGCATTTCGATCCGGGGCTCGCCAGGGCCGTGGAGCTATGATTCGCATCAAACGTGTCCGGGAACGTGATGCACCCGCTGGAGCAGCCTGAGCAAACCCACACCCGTGGGTCGGTCTGGCAAAAGGTCTGGCTATTTTTTGTTCGGTTCAGATACGTAGCAAACCCGCCGTGTTCTAGCCCCATGACTTATAAGTTTAGGGTCAGACAAATCTCCCCGTTTAGGTGGTGTGTACTCTGATTTAGATGGTGCACAACCACAATTGGATGACTTACAACTTATAACTTCATTTGGATGGTTTAGATGTGGCCAAGCAGTGGAGCCCAAAACCAAGCTGAAGACCTTTGTTCGCCTCTCCAGACTAGCTGACTGGATGTCAGGAAATCAGCGCATACGT